AATATAAATTCACGTCTCGCGCACTTTAATGCCCTTTGAATGTAACGTGTACGTTCCCTTGGAACTGGAATCATGGCGGAATTTCATGTGAAGTCCACTTCGCAGGGCACTTACGGTCGAATAAGACCACGCTTGAATGCTGCCTGAACAAGAGACCTCCGTACTGAAGTGAAAGTGTTGGCTGGTGTCACTATCTCGCGAACGCGCCGGCGGATCTCCACCAAACTCGGGGGATCACTTCAGCTCGAGGAGCCCTCTCGAATGCCACCCTCCGCGGGTCGGTAGCCCCCCGGGATCGCTAGCTCGGTCGGCGCCGGACCGCGAATTTAACCACCTGCTAATAGACCGGTGACGACCGCACAGAGTAGCATTATAACAGAACTTTCAAATGCATCTAGTATGATAAAATAGCGCTGCTTTTTTCCCCACATAAGCACGACTGGAAGGAGCAGAAGCGGTCGACTGTGGCATAATAAAAGCTCCGCTGCTTGCGAGCCGTGTGTCGCACTCGTTCAACGGCCTCGTTTCGCTTCGACGGCTTTCAGCCTCACCCTGCTTCTTTCTACTATGTTAACAAATCATTAGCTCATCCATGAACATGACTTCTGCCTGAGTCCCATCGGATTGCATCGGCTGTGGGGATGAAGACGACAACTCCCATGATTCCACACTCAGTCACGGCGTCATCAAACTACGCCTTTGTCTCTTTGTTTATTTTGAATACGTGCCCTCTAGCGGCGAAAATTACATATTGTGCCTTTAAGTCTATTTGTAAAGTGCACTTATGGTGGTCACTTAAGATCCCGGGTGCCAAGCTTTTACCATTCATTTTAAAACCTGTGAATCTAAAATTGCTTTTGTACACCAAACAACTACCAGCAGAAATGATTCCTTACATATATTACTGTTCAAAAGTTTAGAGTTGATACAATTATTTTTTATGTTTTTGAAAAAAGACAGTAATATTGTGAAATATTATAACAATATAAAATAACTACTTTCAATTTTAATATTTTACTGATGGCAGAGCTGAATTTTTAGCAGTCATTACTCTAGCGATCAGTGTCACATGATCCTTCAGAAATCATTCTAATATGCTGATTTGGTGCCCAAGAAACATTTCTTATTATCATCAACATTGAAAACAGTTGTGCTGTTTAAAATATTTGTGTAAGTGTGATTTTTTTTTTTCAAGGTTTACAGACTCCAAACTTTTGAACGATAATGACATAAGGCTTCGTGAAAAATGTACCAAATGCTAAAACACAAGACAGTAATGCCCTGTCTGCCCTCCAAAATTAGTAGGGCATAGTGATGCTTACTTTTGAGTAGAACTTACTCAACCTGTCTGTTCAGGATGAAGTAAAGTGGGAGTGTCGTTAGATAAGGTAACAGGATGTGCCAGCTGAACTACCAGGATGTTTAAGCAACAGTCACATGCAACCGGTTTTGATTAATCCATTCTGTAATCACTTTATGCAATGCTGTAAAAACATGAGACACAAAATCCATCTAATTCATTTCTATAAATGACCACTTCACTTATGGGAAGTCTTTCTGAGGCTGAATGAAAGAATGGATCAATGTGTCACTCATCCTTTCATAGAGGCATCTCCCAGAACCCTCCCTACACATTGACAGTCTGTAGAGAAATAAAGCTCTCTGCTCATCACACACAGGTACTGACACGCTCCTGCCAGCCTGTTGTGCTTTCTCAGCGAGCTCACAAAATAACACACCCTGTGTCTCTCAAACACACCCAAGATCACTTTCTCCCACAAACACACTCATGATCTCACAGTAACAATTTTATTCTGTTTAAAGTCTTTTCTCCCTCACACACACACAGGTGTGTTAGCACCACACCATTCCCACAGAGTCTAATAAGAAGCGTCTAAAAGCAGGTGCAAAGCCAAAGCGAGTCACCAGGTGAGTGCCAGCAGCTATAAATGTTTTTTTCCTGCGTTTCACATCTCAATACAAACAGAACAGATCAGGTTTGACTCAAGTCTGTAAGTAAGATAGGGTAAGCTACTCTAAACCCTCCTAAATACCTGTTTCCTAACCCAGACACACTGGTGAGGATGATTTTATAAAAAACAGTGAGAAAATAGATGCGTCACAATTCCATATGTAGGGAATTGATCTTGAATGAATCTTTCACTGAAGACAACAGGTCAAAGTCCTGTGTGAGACTCTGTCCACCCTTCCCCAAACCCCCCACTGTTCCTTACAGGGCTGGGCGGTATGATGTTAAATATTGTGGTGACAATATACAGTGTTTAGAGATGGATTCTGCTACATCATTGTATGTAAATATACAGTATTCATGCAGAACTGCTTCAAGTTGAGACTTCGGCGCAAAAAAGTACTCAAGGTGATGATCGGATTTATAGCTTTAATAAGAATCAGTGCATATTTAATTCATACAGTGAAGAATGTGCAGTTTTATTTTACATCTGATAATTAAATTTTTTACTCGAATGCTACAGTTAAACATCTACTGTACCTGGAAAAGTAAATGCTATTTGTATCTTTCCTATATTGTATCCTATTTGTAATTAGCTTTTTGTTCTTATTCTTAATAACAAATATTAAATAAAAATATAACTATATTGTGATTTTATGTTAGTATTTGTGAAATAAAGTTACTCACATCATAAAATAAAAATTTTGGTCATATCACCCACTCCTAGTTTCTTACAACACCTGATGGAAGTGGGTGCATTTCTTTGAAAACGACAAGAAAACTGAACTGAACCGAATTGAACCAATGGTTTGATAGTGCGTGTCTTTCTATCTCTCTCTCTGAAAGCTAGGCAGGGAGAAATTGATTTCACTAGTTAATATTTACAGAGCCCCCTGGGGATAGGCTACAACTGAATCAAGATAACATGCCACCACCTGAATGCTACAAAGGTATGCAATAAAAAAGTGAGAAAATAAATGTGTTAAATGAGACCAACCATTGTTTGTTTAATGATTTCCATTTGTACTTTAATAAATGAAATCTATAAATTCCTACAAACGTCTAGTCCCACAACTGAGCTTAGATTCTGAGCTCTAAATACCTTTCCGTGGGACAGTAATGAGAGGGTGTCCATTATGAAACAGTTGGGGGTGGGAACAGGTTTACAGAGTACAAACAAATTTTCTCTGCGTCATGCTTGAGAAACACGTTTGGCGACAACCGCCTTTTGGCAAAACATACCTGCAAAACTAACTTCTCAAGCAAACCCGAAACTATACATATCTTGATAAATGAGCCTGGATAGCAGCAGAAAAGAAAAACAGAAACATCTCTCGGGCTCGCTCGGTTTAATCTTAATCCCTCGGTCAACTATTCTGTTCATCCCTCTGTGTCTGTATCACTCTTGCTCACTCGCTGACATATATGGTTCTCAGGTAGGTGCGTTCGCAGGTAAACATTCCGTCTTCCAGATGTCTGCTCAACACATCAGTCCACAACAAGACTAGACCTGCACTTTCCCCTAGAGCAGAGCGTCTGTGCCTGCCTTCCTTCCTTCCCACACCCAAACCACACACACATTACACACCACAGCAAGCCACCTCAAAATCAACCCAAAGCTAAAATAATGTGGACAATATCAAAGACTTACCTTATGCTGATACATACTAAAATGACGAGTCACTGCTTTATATGTAACTTTTAATTGCTGTATCTATAATATTATTTCAAACTCAAACACATGGTCTCTCACCTGTTGCAGGACGCTCTCCAGGGGCTCGGCCTTGCACAGCTCCTCCGCCGTGAGCCCGGTCTCTTCCTTGCACTGCTCCGACAGATCCGCACTGTCCGGCTGTACTAGAGTCCGCTGAAGCTTGCCCACCTGTTAACAACATCATCTCTTTCAACCGGCCTAGCAATGCAACTCTAGCGGGGTTTCTCATCGGCGCGCCCTTTAACACACCTGGCCGTCGAGAACACAGACGCAACGTTCAATGTTCTCCACGCGCCTATGCTGTCTAGGTAGACAGCTCACTGGGTTTGACACCGAGTCACTATGGGGATGATGTTGATGTTGATATCTCAGACAGTGTGTTTGTGTGAATGCAAAGCAGACACGGCAGGGTTACTGACCTACAGGCAATGACACGCACCAAACAAGGCACGCTTTCGTCTCTCGTGGCTTGAAAAGACCACATTATAAATGCTCGAATCAAGCTGTCAAACAGATCATCAAATAAAACAGCTGTTGCTGGTGATGTAAATCACAATGTAGCGCGTTTAGCTCTCTAAAAGCGCGCCTTGTTGGTGAATGTCAGCTGTCAATGTGGTTTCTAACACTAGCACATTACTAGGTGGGTAGTTTAAAGTTAGAGACCTTACAATAGGGTCAAAAGGTCCGTACCTTATTCTCATGTAGATCCACAATTTGCCACACCAAGAGAATTAATTCCCTTTCATCCGACCCCAGTTTACCCCCATTTGCACCAGCTGTTGCCCCAAAGAACACCACCAGAGTATCACTGTGCGAAGCCATCAGGGACCGCAAGGGTAAAAACTATAATTAAGAGCAAAGATCAAATAAAACAGCAACACGAGGGTTCACCTTTCTCCAAGAGAAGCAAACAAAAGAAATGGAAATTCAATTGACGTACACGAGAAAGGACAGAAGATTACTCCAGGAGAAGGACACGAGAAAGAGTGCGGCACGAGACTCTACCTGTTGCAGTACTTGTGCTCTCTATCCAGAGTTACTGGTTTGACTGGTAAAGAAGGCAGAAAAAAGTCCTGGTTCGTCTCACGCTAACCCCATAACAAGCCCTGAAGGCTTTTCTCGCTGTCTCGTTTTTTCTTGGTTACCTGGCTTTGGCTCGGCCTCCCGTTTGGAGTCAATCTCCTTGGGGAGCGCGTTGATTGGCTGGTTTGTAAAGGTGAGGGCGGGGCGTATTGCCACGGCACCTATGTAACCCGTTCTGATTGGTTCATTATGCGCTAGGAAGTAGGAGAGAAGATCAGAATTCATTTGTCCTGCTTTGCTGTTACACACCTATGCAGACGCGCGGTTGCATTTTAATATAAACGTTTTTATCTACGTAAAACGGTGCACTTACGTTGAAAGAAATAAACTCTGAAAAGCTTTCAAACAGGCCTATGTTTAAAAACACTCACACAAGAATAAGACAACGTCATAGGCTACTCATATGAGCTCCCTGAATAAAAGCTAGAATAAAAGTTTTGTTTTAGATGTGGCCAGTGCGCTTCCATAAACTCTCAAAAACGAATAATATTCAAATATTATATAACGTTTCTGCCACTCTCACTAGACAAACACATAATCTCACAAAACCGTTTTAGACTATCGATATTAGTGCTACATACTACTACATACATACTACATTAGATATTACTTGTGCTACATATTGTAAAATAGTTGATTCTGGCCATGTAGTTGTTTATGCAGTTAGGGGCAGTTTGACTGACACGTTGAACCACCAATCACACTTCACTTATTTCATATGACGATCACGGCCGGGTCTTATTCATTGCACCTTGCTGTTACAATCTGACTAGAAATTCTTAAATATCTTTTAAGGATTCGAGGCCAGGAACATCATAATCTTAAAATTAATCGTTGCCGCGAATTATGTCAAATTTTGTTCTTCTTAATATAGCTAAATTATTTTTCCCCCTTCGAAATGTAATGCTTTTGAGTGTTTATTCATTTCAGCTCTTTTTTAAAAGAAAAATGCAATTATAGGTAACAGGTTTAGATTTTAAGGTTAAATTGGGCAGAAGAAAAAAAATACATGGCACTATGACATAGCATGGCACAGTAAAAAAAGAAATGAAATGAATTCTTAAAATAATTTAGGAGCCCAAACCTGTCCTGGGCTCCATACATATACCCTATAAATACAACTGTACTGAGATCTGAGTTTTGTTTCCATGATTCAGTGCTCTTGTGTGTCAGTAATGAAATCGGACAAAAAGCCAGACAGAGACTGTTTGTGTGCAGTCCTCTCACTATTCCATTGCGTGCCAAACTTAGGTGACGATTCAATGTCCCATTCCTCTTCCAGACTCAGGAAGTCAGGCACCTCTCTCCTTCTCTCTGGTTTCTTCTTGAGCAATGGTCAGCTGATTTTTTCAGTCATGAAATTTGTGTTGTAAAAGAGAGATAGAAATAGAACCACAGGTCACGACATGAGAAATGTCATGTCACCACTCTGGAATACATGACTTTTAACATAATACTGATTTTAAAACACTGGACATCATACACTTGTCACCTTTGTAAATGGTCACAAAGAAAAACTGGGCATTATACACTAAACAACTGAGGATAACACACTTCTAGGCTTTAAAGTTGTTATGAAAGCAGCAAACTCACACAGAAACATAGGCCTCGTTGCTAAGAGACACATGACAAATGAAAACAATGTGTTCTAAAATCGGCTCACAATATCAAACATGGACTGGATGTAATCACAGTCTGAAGCTTTAAAATCAGAGTCTGTGCATCCTACACTATGAAATTATCTGTGAAATCCGTCGACACTGACTGACCAAAATCTGCAGACTTGCTCTGACTTTGGCCAACTAGAGCTGACTCATCCAAAGTGCTGATCAGGGCAAAAATTTGTACAAATGTTGTGTAATGTATTCCAGCCTTTAGGTACAAATTTTGCATTTCAAAAATTCAATAAATGTATTTATTATTTTAATTCAGTTAATAAAGGTATATCACTGAAAAGTGCCACAAAAGAGTTCACAGATATAGAAACAGCCTGGTGAGTTTTTCTTTTGCTTTAGACAGTGGCCCTATGCAAGATAATTTATGTTTAGGTTTTACAAAAATAACTGCTGTTTAATTTTCATATGAAAGGAGCATTATAGAAAAGAATGGCATTACAGTGGAATCTTCTTCCAGACGGACATCTGTTCCGTTTAATGCCCACTTCCTCTTTCACTCCGTTACAAGAATCACAAACACACACGTTGCAAGGAGAAGGAAGCTGTTGAAATCATAATGCACAGATGTAAGACTAAAAACAGTCTGTTTACATAAGACACCATGGGAATTTGATTGTAAACAGACAAAAATATTTGCTATAAAGGCATTTGAGATATATCACATATAAAAGTGGTTTCATCATAGAATATGCAGTTGCAATTTAAGATAACATCTTTGTGAGTATTAAAATATACTCAGAACACAAAGAACAAGGCACAAGCAAATATTTTACTTAAAAAATTAATGCAATTCTGAAATACAAAATTACATTAAAAACTTCAAGCACTCTTTTTGGAGAAATAACAGTTGTAATGGTTATTATTGTTATTGAGTTTCTGGCTTTAAAGCTTCTTACAGAGTCAGTCTGAGGTACTGATGCATGATTCCATAGCCACATCTACAGGCACTTTTGAGTCCGTGAGACACTGTGAGTTGGTGGTGTGTGAACTCTGTCTTTTGGACACAAATGATAACTCTTTATTCCCTTCACCTGACACTGCACTGGACAGATGCTGGAAGAGCTTCTGTATTCCAGTTTCCCGGAGCGAGCTGCGGAAGGTACGAGCGGCAAACACGTAAAGCACTGGATTGACTGAGCTACTGATAAACACCAGGGCTCCTGCTATAATGGTCATTGTGGTGCAGGCTTCCTCCAAACTTTCCGCCATGTTGGGGTTTGAATGCTTGAGAGCGAGCGAGATGAGGGAAAGAAGGTTCCCCACATGATGAGGAATCCAGCAGACAGCGAACATCACCACCACACTGCAGATGAGAACCGTCGACTTGCTCTTGGACTTGAAGTTCATCTGCGCTATGCGACTGAAGAGGCAGCCGTAACAGACCAACAGAGTGAAAAAAGGGATGACGAAGCCTATAAGAGACTCTAAAATGAGCAACACGGCCTCCTGGGCATCAGTCTCATACTCTCTGAACAGACATTGATTTTGTCCGTGAACTTCTCCCAAAGTGTGAGTTAGAATGACAGGAATACTGAGGAGAAATGAAGCCATCCATATCATTAGAAGTACCTTGTTTAGTGCTTGTCTCCTCCTCCAGCCGACTGAGGCAAAGGGGTATCTGACAGCCACGAAGCGCTCCACACTCATGACGGTGATGATGAAGATGCTGCTGTACATACAGGCATTGATGATGTACACCATGGCTTTGCAGGCAGCCTCTCCAAACACCCAGGAACGGGCCAGCGAGTAGATCCACAGCGGCAGAGTGACCAGCACCAGAAGATCTGCAGCTGCCAGGTGGAGGATGAGAAGCACCGTATGTGAACGCTGCTTCACATGCTTCAAGATGGTCCACACCACCAGCAGGTTCCCTGGTGTGCCCACCAGGAAACACACCCCCAGGATCACACAGGCCCCCACCAAGCCCAGCTCGGTCTCCTCATCCTCCTGAAAATAAGCTGTAGCGTTCATGATTCCCTCTCTGTCCATTCGAGTCCGCTGTACATCTAACCACTGAGCTAGAAAACCTGCCTCAACAAAACTCACTTCCCTTTTGTGGAAGCTGAGAAAAACAGAACTCTCAAGCACAGAAAATAAAAACATCTGAAGTGATATTCTTCGAAAAGGACAACCACAAAGTTTGTACGTTAGCATGGGAGGAGCATCACAACTGTGAATTCAGACATAAGACTTCTGTAAAAAGTGGACGCAATTATGGTTTGTTTACACTCTTGAATTTCTGACATTTCTGAGTCACTGTGGAGTTTTACCTAGGCTGTGTTTCGTTGTGAAAGCGAAACTACTTTGTTTGGTCTTCCAAAAATGGGCACGACTAGATATCAGTGGTTAAGTTGTATTTGCAACACTGTTACAGAACACTTCAACCCAAATATTCAGATGTGTCCAGCACATTTTATGGAGGACCATTT